GTATGTATACATATATAAACATCCATTCATCCATATATACATAAATACATACGAACATACATACGTACATACATACATACATACATACATAAATACATACATACATACATACATACTACATACATACATACATACATACATACATACATACATACATACATACATACATACATACATACATACATGCATGCATGCATGCATGCATAAATACATACATACATACATACATATATACATACATACATACACACATACATACATACATACATACATACATACATAAATACATATATACATACATAAATATATACATACATACATACATACATACATACATACAAACGTTCATGCATACACACATACATTCCTAACTACATATATAATATATATATATATATGTATATATATATATATATATATATGTGTGTTTATACATTTACATAAAAATATACATATACATATGTATATGTTTAGACATTCACATACACACGTATATATACTCGCTGACATGTGTTTATATAATGAAATGTATATATGTAGTTGTGTTAGCTCTGAATCTCGCTGGTGAGCACTGCAGGCAGGTTGATGTGTGTGCATGCGTATGATGTGGCGAAGTCGCCTGTTTGACTAATGCGTTTATAACGAGTAAGTACAGTTTATGTACTTTGTATTGACTGGCTTGTGTCTATAGTGCAACGAGTTCATGTGCGTCTTCACTTGGAAAAGTAGACTGAGATCACTCTGCATCTGAGTGCTTAAGGTACAGGAGATAAATATATATCTATCTAATTGTTATATATATATATATATATATATATATATGCACATATATATATATATATATATATATACTCACGCGTGCTTCCTTATGCCTTCGACAATCAATTGCATGCAACTCACACTTCACACACCCTCAGTTCGCCGATCTGTGTCAGAAACTGGGCAATCGCCTGGTGGACGAAGGGGGTGAATACACAGCACATGCAGCTCTGTGCTTCATCGCAGGGGGTAGTGTGGACCACGTGCTCGGTGTGTGGAAGACAGACGCACGCCATGTGTCTAAGGAGGAGCTGTTGGATTTGGTGGAGCGGGCCACTGTACTGGGCCGAACGTCCCAGGGGGGTCTGATTGCGGACGATAGCACGAGCGAGAACTTTAGGTGGGGTTGGTGAGCTGTGGATGGGATGGATGGGTGTATGCATGTGTGTGTGGGTACATGTTTTATGTGTGTTAGTATAACACTAGCGAGAACTTTAGGTGGGGTTGGTGAGCTGTGGATGGGATGGATGTGTGTATGCGTGTGTGTGTGGGTACATTTTTTATGTGTGTGTTAGTATGACACTAGCGAGAATTGTGGATGTGGTTGGTGAGCTGTGGATGTGATGGTTGTGTGTATGCATGTGTGTGTGGGTACATGTTTTTATGTGTGTGTTAGTATGACACTAGCGAGAATTGTGGGTGTGGATAGTGAGCTGTGAATGAGATGGTTGTGTGTATGCATGTGTGTGTGGGTACATGTTTTATGTGTGTGTTAGTATGACACTAGCGAGAATTGTGGGTGTTGTTAGTGAGCTGTGGATGAGATGGATGCCTGTGTGCATATATGTATGAGGGGATGGTTTGTGTGTGATAATATATGAGTAGCGAGTTCATCTGATGGGGTCGAAGTATGTACATCTGTTTCCAGAATTATGTATTATTGAATGTTGATGCGTGTAATTTTATATATATTAACTGACTGGAAGCCATACGCACACAGCATGTCGATGAGAAAACTTTTTAAGGTGGGATATGGAGATCCACTCACAGTGTTTGTTTCAGATACACCTTTGATTCATACTTTCTGACCCTTTTCTAACTTTCTCTCGATATGATTTTGTGTATGTAGTTCTGTGATACCTTTCGGTATATATACGCAAATACATTTACCGGTTTGCCTAGAGGTGCATCATATTGCTCCGTTTCCAGTGTGTAACACCACATCCCACACTCCTTCGCTAAAACTTCTATTTTTTTTATCAAGTATTTCGAGCTCTCTGTTCGCCAGGAAAAGTCTGCGGACTCGATACCGACTGGTAACCTAGCAACCAACCATCAAACTAATATTCTTGTCGGGCCCATCTCAAATCACACCCCTAAGACCGCCAAACTCTCCTTGTTCTCCCTATCAGGAAATACGGAGAGCTCACTGCCGCAGAGGGTTTACTGGACATCTCCAACACATACCTTGGCTTGTGCAGTGGATCTCTACCCGGCCTGGGAGTGTCACGTGATCGTGCATTCAATGCGCGGACCAATCAGATGCAAGGCGAGGTTGCTCCGGAATTCCCCTTCGAGAGAGTGCAGGTGTACACACAGGTGAGTGCTTGGGGACAGGGCAAGGCGTCGTCTGTGTTGGAGTGTGCTTGGGTGTGTTTGGGTGTGTTTGGGTGTAGTGTAATCGTAGACGCAGCCTTAGGTTTGGGCTTTACCTGGCTAAGGTAGATGTAGGCGAGGGATTTTAACCTGACTTTTTCACTTCTATACCTATTCGGTGGAAAACCGTCTTAATGTGGGAGTGGCAGGTATTCGCACATACTTGTACATATACATGCCCAATTGTAAACCGTCCTGAGAGGTAGTAACAACGTAGGTGGATCTATGAAGTAGGAAAAAATGATTCAACATAGCGGGGTATTCATATACTGTGTTCACATATTCTGCGTTGGTAGGAGCGATAGATGTGGTACCAAGGCAGTGTTACAATTTGCTTCCGATGCGCATAGCGTGTCTGTCCATAGTACACCATGGGCCTTCAAGGCGTTTCTTAGTTCCGTTGGGGATGTACCTGTAGTTTGCAACGCTATAACGCAATTATACATAATATTGCAAGCGTTTCAATGCTCATGTGTCATCGGGCCGTATCACGCTGCTGGATTGCATCGCTTATGTGGTACCTGCACACACCGACATCCGTTAAACGCCTATATTCTATCCGTACGTATTATCACGATGTTCACAGGCCGAGCTAGAACAAAAGAAACAGCAGGAGGCGTATGCCGAGCAACAGAAGACACAACAAGCACAGAGCCATAATAATAACAACCAGGGCTACGGCGCACCCCAACAAGGCTATGGATCTGTTCCCGGCTACCAGGTAGGTATAATTCTAAATTTAGAACCGTTCACTTCGTACCATGTCACTGATGGGTTAATTCGGGCACGGTTGGCAAGTGGGCCGTGTTGGTATTTAATCACATCAAGGTCGTGATTGGCAATTAGTACAATCCGTGGCCCAAAGTACCATCACACACACGTATCTTTTCAACACACACACATACTTCATGCTCTGGTCTATGCGAATGCTGCATCTAAACCTATATCCATGTGTGCACGTGTGTTTGTATCGATGTTGCGGTGAGAGTGTTAAGGTAAATCCTATCTGATGTACGCGCCATGTGTCGATATTTTACGTTCTATCGACGTTATTAACCTTGTCACGCTTATCTGTCCGCGATGGAGATGCACACACGCACGCACGCACAAGATGAGCTTCACCTTGAATCTCTACACTACTGTTTATGATTTTTCAGCTGAACGTCTTCTACATGTTGCATTCCATTGCCAACACCTGCGTTATCCACTGTATGTACGCAGTTGCCAACACCTACGTTATACGATGCATGTACGTAGTCGCATTGATACCAGACAGACCACTCCGTCTGAAGTGCGGAGACTTGGTATATGTTATAGCATATACTGAGAATCAGGAGCAGTGAATGGGCGGCGGATAACTCGCACTTAAAATCCAAACGTAGCTTATGAGTCTAAGGTACAGAGGCAGTGGACACCGTGATGCCTTGTTCATATGTCCCGTGTGACTTACTTACAATTTCAATACGTTTCATATATGCGCTTCATTTCACAGCCACCCAGCCAATACTGTGCCGGTCCCCCAGGAGCTGGCAGTCAGTTCAGCGGGGGTTATGGTAACCAAGGCAACCAGCAGTCCAATCAGTGGAACCAGTCGCAGACTGCACCACCGGCCCCGGCTACAGGATACAACGCATTCACCCCAGGACAAGTATGTGTTACAAAGGTTACAGGTTCAGAGAGATGCAGTGAGAGGCAGGCGAATCCGGCGATACCAGGAACTAGTTAACACTACAGATCTCGATTCGTCCAGCTTGCATACAGAGTACAGGCCTTACCCCCAATTAATTAGTTGTTGCACTCGTATTTATTCACTCCACAGCCCCAACAACCCAGCACCGGGTTTGGCGGTCCGCCCCCACTCAGCTCAGGTTTTGGCGGGCAGCCACCGACCAATGGAATGGGCTCATTCAGCGGTGCATCGAATATGGGTCCACCCGGGATGAGCGGGCCTCCGAGTATGGGTGGACCTCCGCCTATGGGTATGGGTGTGTGAACGCCTTGACAGTACGTTCATAAGTTAGAGTGGTTAGTACTGATACCTGTTCGTGTGGAAATTGAGACAAGACGTTGTGGATGTTGTATATGTGTGTGATATGTTGGTTTGTCCGTTTCATAAGTGGTATATATACGTATATAACTTCAGCAAAGTGTGGGAAGTGTTAATATATATATATATATATATGTATATATTTATATAGCGTATGTTTTCCATACTACCTATGGACTGTCCAAACACACACGTTTCTTGAAATGCTCTTGCATACTCAGTCACTTTGTCGCGGCTTGACCACGCAGGCAGTCGTCAACTAAATAGTTGTGTGTGATGTATATCACTCAGATTAATCCATCCACTGACACTTTGCGACTAGATCCCGGAATTAGCGGCATGTACACGTGAGATGTGAACGCACATCCATTCACCCGAGGAACACGTCGCTTCCATACCCATACCATAACAAGACCATAACATTCCATACACTCAACATGAACGCAATATCATAATTCTATAACTCATGAACATATTATCATGGCCACGATTACTCATATGAACATATTATCGTATCAAAATGGTAGCGATCTGTAGCATAGCAAGCCATACACTCAACAACATGAACACAATACCATATTTCTATATCCATACGCAGTCATATTTAACTGGTTGTGTTTCCTCTCTCAGGCGGGCGTCCGTCGCTCGGCCTACCCAGCGCATTCACGCCATCACAGCCCAACAGCATGGGTCCCCCGAGCATGAGTGGCGGCATGAATAGTTTCAGTGGTGGTGTACATGGCCAAGGCATGGGTAGCAATAACACGGGTAGCAATAACATGGGTAGCATGGGCATGCCCCCACCCCCACCAAAAGCTTGCCAGGCCCACCCCCGGGATCAGGACCAGGTGCCTCGTCTATGACACCTTCCCAATCTATGGGTATGTATTGATATTGATTTGGATCTCCAATCCATGGGCATGCGATGGTGTTGCGTTTGGTGCTTGTCACATTGTCTATGCTTTGGCTGGGAAAGCTTTATGTTCATTTGGGTTCGTAGTAATAGTGTGTGATGAGTTGGTGGTACGTTTTTGGGTGTGGCCCGTGTACACTGGTATTAAATTTGTTGATGCTTTGCATTGTCCGGGGTTGTCTTACTATAGTGTGCGGTGTTGGTGTTGATGTTGATATTGCTATATTTGGTGGCAGGTGTATGTAACTGTTTAGTGACGGGTTCTGGCTAGGAACATGCACTACGTGTGCGGACTCAGTGTCGACCCGTATCAACACAACTAACGTTGTACGTCTTGAAGACACCTTTGCTCATCATTTGTTGTATCTGTATTGTGACAATCTGATTGCATACAGCGTCGCATGCTTCAAGGATACTGGTTTGGAATATCATCAATGTTTTCCCATTTGAAGCTGGGGTTTTATTTTTATCTTTTTACAATGTACTTTTGAAGTCAAAACCAGCCTTCCCGAAGAATTTTAGGCGTCTTTATAACAATATCCCCGCAGATTATAGCGTCTACCTGAGTCGTAATTTCTCTAATCTGATACAGGAATGAATTCAATGTCGGGGCCGCCGTCGCAAATGGGACCTCCTTCCATGGGTCCACCGTCGCAAATGGGTCCACCGTTGCAAATGGGTCCACCGTCGCAAATGGGTCCACCGTCGCAAATGGGTCCACCTTCACAGATGGGAGGCCCACCCCCAGGACAATTCAATCCATCGACATCACAAGCACCACCAGCCCAACAAGGTATGCGTTTTGTATCTATGTATGCATGTTTATGTATGTCTGTATATCTATCTATCTATCTATGTTTCTCTGGCATAATATGCGTATGAAATATGCGACCACATTCCGCCAACAAGCGCACGCAAATCGGCTGTTTGTGAGACTATGCTTAGACACACACACATATTATTTACACATTATGACAATAGTATGTATGCGTAAATAAAAATTGTTTAGCGTTGACGCTCATTGTTACATCACGCGTTTGAGACTGTGCTTAGACACACATATTATTTACACATTATGATAATAGTATGTATGCGTAAATAAAAATTGTTCAGCGTTGACACTCAGCTTTACATCATGCGTTTGTATGTCTTATGCATTAATCACATTGTCACAGTGTGTGTGCTTTGATATGATATTGAATACCGTCACGTACACACGAGGCGGTTTGTCGCGTGCCCCTCAGTTGTGCACACATTTAATAATAGCAATCAATATCCCTGTTTTACGCATCTCTCATATTTTGGTATTGTTGTGTTGTATTTATATTAGGGACATCTTTTACTCCTCACCTCATCGGGTTTATTATCCCACCTCCCGTTTGATACGCACCTTTTCTCACACCCTCCCCTCCATTTCTATACTAATCCTTCTTAATAACTTTCTTTGTCATCTATACAAATGTGTTTATATCAATACTAATGTGTTTGTATAATGTCCCTCTATCCCTCAGGCCAATTCTTTAACCCAGCGCAGCCCCAACAGAGCGGCAGCATGGGAGTGGGGCGTATTCCGTCCAATCAAATGCCAATGACTCCCACAGGCACAGCAGTGCGACAACCTTCTTTCCCAACGGGCGCGGTATGTATAGACTATATATATATATATATATATATTTGTATTTGTATATATATATATATATATATATGTATATGTATAT